GTATTGACACCGGAGATGCATTGCCGGTTCGTCAAAACCATACCGGTATGATAAGAATAAGGAAAAAATTATAGAATGGCATATTACCGATATGCTACGTAAAAAGATCATAACGCCCATCTCAAGTAGTTATGCTAGCCCGGTGGTTTTATGTAAGAAAAATATGATTATCCTTTGGAGCATTCCAAAAGGTGGAGATTCGCTATTGATTACCGTAAATTAAATCCATAACGAAAATACCGGTATATCCGTTACCGATCATAGAAAGAAATTCTAAGGAAACATAAAATCAAACAAATTTATGACGACTTTAGACTTAACGAATGGTTATTTCAAATAGGGCTCAGGCCTGAGGACGTGCCTAAGACTGCTTTTATAACCAAGTCTGGCACTTATGCATTTTGCGTATGCCGTTTGGCCTTTCAGGCGCCCCAGCAACATTTCAGCGATGCATGGACATTGTGTTAAGACCTGTTCTTGGGAAGGTCCACATTTATCTATTTAGACGATATCATTATTACTAGTGATAATCTCGACCAACATATACAGGATTTAAGACAGGTGTTTCTTTATTAAATGAGGCCGGTCTAAAAGTTAATGTCGAAAAGTGCAAATTTGCAGCCCCTGAATTAAAATATTTAGGTTACAAAATATCGCAAAAAGGGATCGAGACGATGAATCAAAAATAATCGCTGTACAAAAGTATCCGACTCCAAACACGGTAAAGAAGCTCTCTTCTTTTCTAGGACTTTGTTCATATTATAGGTCCTTTATAAAAGATTTTCGCGGCTATCGCTGAGCCATTGTTAAAATTAAAAGGAAAAAGGCAAGATTCTCGTGGACGGCCGAAGCCAATAGTGCTTTCGAAAAATTAAAACAAGCATTAACGCAAGCCCCTGTGTTGAAATTTCCTGAAAAGGATGAAAATTTAGAAATTTCAGCGGATGCTTCGGATTATGCGGTAGGAGCGGTACTTTCGCAAAATCAGCAGCCCGTGGCATTTTTTAGCCGAACTTTAAATCAAACACAAAGAAACTATTCCGCGACCGAGAGAGAGGCACTTTGCAGTTCTGTTAGCAGTGCAAAAGTTCCGAGCCTATTTTGGAAAGGCGCCGATAACAGTAATATTCTGATCATGCGGCGGTAACTAGATTGTACTCAGGGAAAAACTTATCCCCAAGGTTAATAAGATGGGCACTCAAGTTACAAGATATAATCTGGTAATCAAGCACACCCCCGGAAAGGAAAATATCGTAGCAAATGCCCTATCCAAATAAAAATAGATGAAGAAGGTAATACTGTAAAGGTGGCAATGCTCACAGCATGTACGATACATTCCCGAGAAAACTGTAATAACCGAACTGGGTAAGGATCCTGAATTTTAAAATATTTATGAGTATTTTAAAGGATCCTGAAAATTTTAGCCACCAAGATATTGTGGCGATAAGAAATAGGGCGGCCCATTACGAACTAATAGATGGTCTATTATTTTATACAAAAACTACGAATTCCAACAACGAATTTCGACCTGTTATCCCAGCTAGACTTAGATTAAATATCCTGCAAGAGCTCCATGACAGCCCTTTAGCTTCTCATGCTGGTATTCGAAAAACTATCCAACGCGTACGCGAGGCAGTCTACTTTCCTGAACTGCAAAAGTTAACAAGGGCGTGTGTCCAGTCCTGCCCAACATGTCAAGCGTTAATTATATTAATTTCCGCCGGCCGGGTTTCTAAATAGTATTAATCCGAATTTCCAAATGAAATAATCGGCATCGATTTATTGGGCCCTTTCCCAAAAAGTCAGTTAAATAAAAGTCGCTATCTCCTTGTTATGGTTGATCATTTTAGTAAATGGACCGAAATTGTTCCCTTAAAACGAGCCTCCGCGAAATTAGTTACTGATTCTATTTTAAATAAATATATTTAAAATACGGGGCGCCCTAAAAGTTATATCGGATAATGGTCCTCAATTTGTAAGTAATATTTTAATATATTTGAAGACATGTGCCAAAAACTGGGCATACGTCATTTAAAAATGGTCCCGTATCGGCCGCAATCAAATATAGCGGAACGGGTCAATAGAAATATAGTGAAAAATTATCCGTAGTTATGTTAAAATTTTTCATAAAAGCTGGGATAACTATGTCAATGAATTTTCTTTCGCCCTTAGGACCGCAAAACAGATACAACGGGCAAAACTCCTGTTGAGTTTTTTTCTAGGCAGAAAGATTATAACACCGTTAGATAAATTATTTTCTGTGCAACAAAGAGCCCAGAATTTAAATGGGGATATAGAAAAACTAATTAAGGAGGCAAAGAATATACTGAAGTAGCACAGAAGAAAACAAAATTGTATTTGATGACTTGAAACGACGGGGAGTAACTTATAAAGTAGGGGATGAAGTACTTAAAAATTAAGCATTCACTTTCTTCAGCACCAGAAGATAAAACTGCCAAATTTTTTCCACGATTTGAAGGACCATATGTTATAGAAAAAATAACTCACGCTGTTGTAGTGTTAAAGGCCAGAAATGGTGAAATCTGTTCCGCAAATATTGATCAAATTAAGCCCTACTTCGATCGTAATAAAATGGAAATCTTTTCAGATCTTTTGCAGGATCCGGCACGGCAGACACCCAGGTACAACTTCAGAGGTGGGAAAAACGACAAGTACAAGGGCAAGCCAATGAGAGACAGAAGCAAGTGAAAGAAAATTGCCCGCGGAAAAATTGAAGGTAAAAGAAAAGGAAGCCGTTCCACCGTCCAGAAAACAGAGTTCACGAACACCCCCCAGAATGAAGAAGGGAGAAGGACGACGTATGTGAAGAGGACCAGGAGAAATGACGGCAACTATAACCCTGCTTTAAAACGGAAGATCTACTCATCCGACAGAACTCTCCGCAGCAAAAGTCGCCGAACTACGGAAGGGCCATCAGCGGCGGAGGAAAAAGTACAAGAAAATTTGAAACGGCCAACAACGAGTCCAAGCAGGATCACGACAGAAGTTTCCCGGTTCCATCCAAGACCAGATGCCCCAAACGGCCAAGACCACAAGCAGAGGACAAAGGAAGGTGTCAAGGGTGGCCGTACTGGTGAAAAAAGGAAGCTTCCAGAGGAAAGCACTGAAGGGCGAGCCCGTACAAGAAGGAGGACAACCAAGCTACTATCTGCTAATACCTTTAAAGACTGGGCCCAAAAGGATGTCCGAATATTACAAAGATAAGTAAAATTTTTGTTACTTTGCAAACTTAAGTTAATCTTTCATTCTTACTGCAAGTGGCAGATTTCAAGAGTTTTACCTCATGCGAGGTCTACCTTTATCGCCAAAAGGGCGAGAAATGAGTTGTGACCGATTTTCTTATTATGTTTTTAAATTACTCGTGGCGTAAAACTAAAGTTGATGTATAATAGCGTTGTGTAAAGACTTAAATCTTGCAAAAATTATTGTATAAATTTTATTTAAAACATTCTAGCAAGAAGAAGTTTGAGTCTGAAAGACTTTTTGAAATGTAGTATTTCAATGTAGAAAGAATTGTCACTTGCTTTGAAAAGAATAGAAGTTAACAATGTACTACTAATGTATGTTTTCAAATGTGTAAAATTAACGGCATGTTGATATGTTCTTATATACATGTGAACTGTTATTTTAAATGTTAAAAATACCGTGATATGGTAAAAGTGAAGTATGTTAAAATTTGTTATTCGTGTGACTGTAAAAAGATTAAATCATGGCGAATATGTGGTAAAGGTTGAATGAGTAGTTAGGCCTCTCTGACGCTACACTTTAGAGTTAGCCACTTTTAGAATAGTACCTCAGGGTTTAGAGTTGAAAGTAGGGTGTGTTAAGAGGTCTCGTTATGTTGAATTTTAACACGTTAGTATTTTGATTGTAGGAGGAAGTGTGGCACACGTAGACAGAAACACATTCGTGTTTGGTGTTTCTGTTACAACACATGTCAGAGAGCACGGGGAGAGATAATTAAAATAGTCATGAATGAAATAAGAATGTTAAGAGAAGTATATTCTATATGTTATTTGCAATTCATTTGTACATTTCATTAAACTAGTTTTCTTCCAATCTCTGGAAGGAACCAGAATTGAATAAAGCTCCTGTTTAGATGCAGTACAGATGAAAAAAAAGATTGTTGTAGATCCTGGGAGCTGCTATTGTAACAAATTTCTTTCTTTTAAATTTTCTAGTTTCTACGAAGTATGATTGTAAAAGGTTGGCCTCGCGTTAGATTTAGAGCTAAAAGTTTTCAAACAAGTCGTTTTAGACCTCAGTTTCAAACTAATTAACTCTGGGGGAAGTATGTAAGGATCTTAAGTTTTACTAACGTTTATTTTATTTTAAATCTTTACTATCACTTCTTATTTTCTACTTCCGGCCAGAATTATAAGCATTAAGGATTTTATGCAAAGTTTGTCTGGCGAACGCCAAGTATTTAAGTGTGGCCTTTTTGCCAAGCAGAGAGAGGAAAGTGAGTTCGAAGCAGGCCGCTTACCTTAGAAGTTACGCAGTTGCTATTTGCCTTCCAGGCCAGAGGTTTTAATCCTCTTGATAAATTAAACGTATTGTAGTGTTCACAGTCTCTGTGCTACATACGCTTCCTATTATTATAAGGCCAATCTTACACGTGTATTATTCTAAAGTTAAATTAGAGTTTAGTTTTATTTTGATATCTTTTACGTTAGACCCCGAGTGGAGGGTCATTGTATTCCGAAGTACGGAAGTCATTGTATATAAAGAAAAATAAAGGGTTTTGTATACCCTTCGTCTGTATCCTGTCTACTTACTACAATTAGTGAACATAGCTTTAATAAGCTCTCTGTTCTAGTCAGGTCATTGTATGTTTCCGAAGAAGGTTAGAAGAAACATTGAACCTGATAACGTTTCTAACTTCAAAATGCAGTTAGAAACAAAACAATTTCAGCTACCCGAGTGTAAGAATCCTACTTAGGTGATCACGAATTCACTTTTAAATATCTTTCTTCCAGTCTCTGTGTCCATCCGTCTGGACGCATGATGGCTTCTGGACAGATATCGTCTGCTTATCGGGTGAGTACATGTTTATTTTAATTAATTTACTTATTATTGTTCCTGAAATTCTATTTAAAAATAGTTTCTGCAAGAAATATTTAAATCAGCAGAATTATTTTATATAATAAAAAATGATGATTGCACTAAAGTTTTAGTTTTTATTACTCTTGACTTCAACCTACTTAGCTCACTAAGTTAATTAATTCGCTAGACTTGTGTGCTGAATCGGCGATTTCTCGTTCTGCCAGGAATATAATATATCAAAAATTGAACTTATTAAAATATTCATTAAAATGCGCAGATCATGGAAAATAACACTTTCTCACCTTATTAAAAGAGTCTTGAATCAAGTTTTAGACTAAACATATTTTTTAAAATCTTTTTTCAAGAAATAAATTAACGATTAAACCATAAATTCTAGAAAGCAAAATTTTAAGGTCTGGTTTATGCGATTAACGACAAAACCTCGAGGGTTATCTGTCTAGAGTGAGGGATGCCTTCGTGGAGGACTTTCCAAGGGAACTTGCTCGTATTGGCATGTTACACAGGAGGAAAACTGGAAAAACGTCCATGCAGCCAGTCCGTTCGCGGAATTCGAACCTTTGACCGAACTACCAGTGTTCAGTGACTTAGCGCTCGGCCGCTGGTGAGCCCAAAATTTTAAGGAAAACACAGTCAGTAAGCAAGTCTTTTTAAAACTTAATAGCATTCCATCACAGAGAGTTGGCATCTCCATAAGCCTTACAGAAATACCCGAAAGCGCATATAACATAACTATTTACACAGATGGCTCCAAACTCGATGAAAATGTTGGTTGTGCGTTTGTTGTTTTCCACAATAATCATCCCCTCCATGAATGGAAAGAACATCTACACACCAACAGTAATGTTTTTCAAGGCGAAGCTTCCCCAATAAAACATGCACTTCTTCATATCGAGCACAATAAACTGAAACTCACCATTATAAAAACAGATAGCTTATCGACACTCCATGCCATACTGGATCTTTTCCATAAGTCTCCTATCAGTAAATCCATACAAACAATTCTACGAAATAATAAACAACTATGTAAGTCGGCTGATTCTCTTGCGAAGAACCGCCCGAAAATAAGCCGATCTCCAAAACCCCCGGCCAACACATATCTAAAACGACAAACTCCAAGTAACCCTTCCGGCAAGGCTACCTTCAAATCGGAGTTTTGATAATAAAAAAAAGAAAAAAAAGTGGCAGTCTAAGGAAGTAGAGGAGTACACCAGTATAATTGGGGAGATAGCACTTAGCGTATTGTGGGTGTGACCCAAAGGGTACACTTATTGAATAGAGCTTCGAAAAGAGTGCTGAAACGAGCATGTTTCAATGAACTGACCGATAAATGTGGAGAAAACAACGAATACAGACTTTCAGTTGGCCTAGATTATCGTTGAGCCCGGTTGGACGCCTAGCTTCGCGTTTGATTTTAGGCAAGATTTAAGGTAAAAATTTAAAATAATATAGAATAAGGAGATTAGCATATAGCCAAAAAATAACATAGAAATTTCTTTTCAAACAATACTTTTTATACCCAAAAAAACTCTGGAAAATTTATTTGTAAAATGAGGGTCTTAAAAAACTAAACATGGCTAAAATATATGCGCTAGTTTGTGTTGAGCTGCCATCTACTATAAAGAAAAAAGGTTCAGAGTAACCTATAGTAACTTATAAATCCTTTTTCATTCAATTTTTCTGTGCGTACAGAAGGAAATTTTTAAGTGTGTCCAGACCGGACACACTGTGCCGTAAACGGTTGAAAGTTCACAGCATATGGAAAGAAGAATGGGGTGATAATAGCACTGGCCGAAGAACATACTGTCACCTCTCTTATGTCAATAGCAGTCGCCTAATAGTCAATCTACATTTGGTTCGTTACATTTCTGGACATGGCCCATTCCCGGTTTACTTCGCAAAGCATGGCATTTCTCATACTGACGATTGCTGCTGTGGCGAAATAGGTACTCCAGAACACTATATTTCTGCTTGTCCACTAACTGAAAACTCCCACATCCGAGTTCCATCTTCCAATACCCAAGCTTTCTGCAAATTCATGTTCCGCCAAAAACATCTTGCAAATTCAGTTTCCAAAATTATGCAAAAGTTATTCGACCTTGATTTAGACCTCTGCCAAGCATAATATATTTATGTATTCATTCCAAATTATGTATTTATGTATTATATATTCATTATGTATTATGTATTATTTATTTATTCATTCAATAAACAGCTGGGATCACGTAGTGGAGAGATGGCGCTAAAACAATTAACCAAATGGTAAAGGTGTGGTGGCCGTCTTCCCCGTTCCTAATCCTAATCCTAATCATTGGATTTAAAATTTCCCGGAACCAAATTACCTTGTCTTATTATGAATTAGTATGCGTGCAGTTATAATGACAAATATTATTATCTTTCATATGTGATGCAGGGAGCTGCTGTGAATATTTGGCTGGTGCAATCGTTACAGACAATAGCCTCCGTAGTTAGACTGGCAGGAAATCCTATATCTATAGCATTCTCATCTCACGTAAGTATAGAAATTATGTATGAAGCTACTTTTCATTTTATAAGATTCTGATCTTTGGTTCTACATCTTCTGTATATTTAATAAATACTACAGGCTAATCTGTATGTTGTAGAAGTTTAGCTGAATAAATGTAATAGCTTCTTAAAACTGTATGTATGATATTTGCTGTATTATCTTTTTACATTGTTTGAAGAAACGAAAACATTTAAAAAAAAGTCGAAAATAAAAAATAAGCTAAATTTTACAGGGAATGTATGAATTTAAAAATACATTTACGAGTGTTATTAATTACAGAGATATAAATTTAATGCATTTATTAAAACCTCTTCTCGAAAGTTTAAAAATCGTCTTTTCCTTTTATTCTAATTCCACATGTAGCTTGTTGCTGATTTATTTAGATTATTTTAATAGTGAAAATATAATACTATATGTAAAATACATATAATTTTAACGGCATATATATGTTAAATATTTGCATCATATTTCGTGATTTCCTATTAATTTACATGCAGGTTACGTCTCAGCTGTTAGACGGTATAATGTTACGAAATTACATGCGTTAATCGATGAAAAAATCATATTCTTCATATTTAAGTTTATACAATTCAGAGAGTTACTTTATGAGGACTTACTGTTGTGATTTGACACTTGTCTGACAGTAGCATCAGCACAAGCCCACGAAATTCATTATAGCAAGGGGTGCAAGATTGCGACTGTCGTTGGCAAGGGCATTGAGCACCCAACAACCTCTCAAGAGGATTTTCGCAGCATATTTAGACCCCATGCCGCACAGACACTATACATTTACAAAAATCAATGCCTTCTCCGGGATTGGCAACTATAAATTCTTTCTTGAGTTAAATAAAAGGATCTTTTCACCCTTCATGCGTATTGTTATTGATACAGTTTGAACTTAGCGAATGGTCGCTTTACAGTTCAAGTAAAAATTTGCCCAACAAAGTAAATTTTATTTAGCTAGAATCTTACAACATAATTAATTTAATTTAAAATTTCGAATGCACGCAAGATAGAAATACCCTATGAATTCTATTTATAGTCTTGTTTATAAAAATTTCACATTAATGGAAACAATGTTTTCACATTCAACTACGTTATTATGTTTCGTATAGCATATTGAAAGTAGATTTTATAATTCGTTGAAAATAGTCCTCAATTCCTGTTTAGTGGTTTTATGGATTATTGTTTGGGGGTGAATATAATATAGTAAACAAATAGGATTAAAAAAGGAAAATTTAATCCATTGGATATCAGATAAAGCAAACGAAACGGCCACCTTATGAATTTAGTCGAACTGTTCATCTTGTCTGGAAAAATGTACAAAGTTAGTTTTACTTATTACACTCAGTTTAACTTACTATAAACACTGCTCTAATTCTCTTGCACTACTGGATAAATTATGCTTCCGTATTTATTTTTTGAATCCGAAATGCTAACATAATACAAATTAAACAAAAACAATAAAAATAGTGATTTTTACGTCAGTTCGAAGCTGATGGAATTAAATCGTTAATAAAAAAAAACTTCCTGTTCTTGTGGATAAGACAAGAGACAAAGGTCAAAGTTTAAATTTAAAGCTGACTATCTTTAATTTAATTGACTATCTTTATTTTAAATTTAAAGCTCCACTGTCTTACAAATATTAACATGATTTCAATCAAAGATAAATTCACATATCGGCCTGAGTTCGTCAAGCTGAGGTTCCTAACTCTCTTTCTTAAATTCAGAATCTTGCTATTTATTAGATTAACTTAATTTTCGTCTTCTTGTAAAGTGGAAGAAAGAGTAGAAGTGCTGAAAAAAATTGAGTATAAAAACAACGTGCTAATTGAAAAAAATCTTACGGACGTACTAAAAAAGCCGTTGTATTCGAAGCATATTGGTCTAAGTTGGTACAATTCTCATCTTGTTTTTCACATATTTTTGCAAACTTAGGCTTTAGTTTTATTTCTTTATTTATTTTTTATTTTGTGTAATAATTTTAGTCTGCATTTTTAAAACGAATGTCTATCTTCTTATTGCGTTTGTTTCAGAGTTATATTGTGAATCTTATAATTCTGAATTCATCGATGTTTAAATTGTAAAGATAACTAAATAATAATGGAAGACATAGGCAAATGGCCTTCTGCTATTTTTCCTAGTTGACGACATTTGGCGACTTTTTGCAAACTTGGCAATATTCCGGAAATTTTCTGAAAGCTCATTTTCGAAGATCTACGAGCGATATTTTAAGCTTCCAAGAATACTTAGGTAACAGAACAAATAACAGCTGTGTTGGAGTAAATCGGTTTAATTACTCAGTTCAGTCTTGCAACAATATTCATCTTTGTGAGTTATTTTGGCGATCTCTGATATTCCCTGCATATTAAGGAGAAATTGAAATTGTGTTATTTGAGATTTTTACTTTAAGATATTTATAGTTGTCTACGTTGCTATATAATTTGTTATTTATTTTAACAAAGTATTAATTTCTTCTTTTTCATTTAGCGTAATTATTAAGGCAACACTGACGAACCCGAACTCGCAGCAATATTGTACTACATATTAATGAAAGTTTTTGTGAGTAATTTACATTATGAAATGAGTATCTTCAATGTCTAAAATGCGCATCTTGGATGTCAGTAAAGTTTACGCTCTGTCTATAACATCACTATGCATATTATTTCACTGTAATAATGCTTTTTAATCTCCTCTTTCACTGCGGATTTATCCACAGGATTTTATCTTGCTGAGTATTGAAGCTGGACAAGAAGAAGACTGTTTGACATTCTGGGATTGGGAGAGCGACGCTCTTCTAGCACGAGTAGAGGTTAGTATAAAGTTTCTGTAGTATAAAGTTAAACTGTATACGTTTTTTTTTTTTTTTTTTTTTTTTTGAATTTCCTACATGTAAAAATTATTTAAAAAATGAAATTTTCATTTTGAAAAAATTTTTTTTAAAATGAAATTTTCTATAAAATTGAGATTTTCTATATAATTTTTTTTCAAGATTTTCATATAAAAATTGAGAAAATCTTAAATTTTTTAAAGTTAATAATATAATTTATATGAAAGGGAATTTATATCAGACTGTTACTCAGTTAAATTCTCTAAAAATGAACCAAGTTTCTAGGCTTTTTATTTTAAATGAAATATTTATTTAAAAAATGCTCCAAAACTTTCATACTTCTAATCTGTGGTACGTTTAGAGAAAAATTTTGACCCAAAATCAATTTTCTTGTATAGTGGAACCTCGAGATAGAAGCACCTCTATATACGAGAAATTCGAGATATGAGGAAAGCATGAGAGAAAAATTCGTCTCTGAATACGAGCATTGACTCGAGTAACGAGCAACGAGCCAAGCTGTTCTATGCGTGGCGCGTTTCCCGATCAGGCTCGACTCGGGGAGTTCCCTCGTCAGATCATTGAGTGTTCTTTGGTGGTGTGGTGTATTTAATTATGGCAAAGCACACGAGGGCTATCTGCCTAAGGGAGGATGCCTTCGTGGAGGACTTTCTAAGGGAAACTGGCTCGTATGCACGTTACACAACATGGGGAAAACCACGAAAACACCCATGCAGCCAGCCCGTTCGCGGGATTCGAACCTCGGACCGAACTACCAGTGTTCAGCGACTTTACCGCTCGGCCGCTGGTGGGCCCGAGTGTTCTTTGATTTAGGAGTTTGTGCTCTTGTGAGTTAATTGTTCTTTGAATTTAACAGAAAAGCCTCCCAAGAAGATTGTTGCCTCATTGAGAGTGCTGCAAAGGAAACGAAAGAAGCTATGGCCGTTGAAATTAAGAAAAAAATCATAGATAAGCCTAAGCGTGATGTAAGAGTGACGGAATTGGCGAAAACTTACGACCGTTCGACATCAACGATCTGCACTATTCCGAAGAAGATGGAAGAAATTAAGAAATTTGATGTGGCCAAAGGAGTTACCGTTACATCCAAGCACCGTCCAAAACTCTGTTTGATGATAAAAAGTCATATTATGATACTAAACTTATATCTATAATATTAATCATATATCTGTTTTAATTCACAGGTTTAAATAAACAGTACAGTTTTCAATTTTCTGAAAAACAAATGAGCCAAAATATTGCCATTTACATCTTAGGCATAGCATATCATTCAATTTCTGGTGAAATTCTCTGTAGGTTTTACCCTAAAGTTATCAGAAGCAGAATTAGGGAATGTAGGAAAGAATTAACATAAAAATAACTGGTTAGCTTATACAAACCTCACCTCGCAAATTTATCTTAAGTTGCCGTGCTCAAAACGTTTGATGAAAAGAACCAACTCTTTCTTATTTCACTAAAAAATCATTTACAGTTCCTTAAAAAAAGAATGGTTTATAAACATTGTTCCTCTTCAATTATTGGATACCATACCATTACATTCTTGCGAAATTTTTTTCTACAATGTATAAGAATAGAGTTGAGAATATAAATGGCAATACTTAGTGCCACTATGAGATTGGAATCAAATATACAGTACGATACATCATCTGTTGAGCTTCCATAAACTTTCAGGCGGAATCAGTTTCTTATACATTTTAAGGCAATTTGTCGCTCGAATTTCTTGATATGCCTTGCATTTTGTAACAATTGTTTTAGTATAGATTTTAAGCCTAGATTTCACTGGTGATATATGGATTGATTTTGATATCTTCAGTTTTAGAGATAAAATCTTCTCTTCTTTGACGAATTTCTATTCAATCATTTTCTTGATTTTTAAATTCTTTCCGATATTTTTTCAAACTTTTTACTGATTTAGTTGGATTAGATATATTAATTTTATTTGTATCGTTTTAAAACTATAAATTATTCCTTTTTTGAAATTTAGCTATTTTTGTAATACTTAAACATTTCAGTTCTGCTCCTTTTTTGCGGTGTGGTGTTGTGGTGTATTTAATTACGGCAAAGCACACTAGGGCTATCTGCCTAAGGGGAGGGATGCCTTCGTGGAGAACGTTCTAAGGGAAACTGGCTCGTATACACGTTACACATGGGGAAAACCACGAAAACACCCATGGAGCCAGCCCGTTCGCGGGATTCAAACCTCGAACCGAACTACCAGTGTTCAACGACTTTACCGCTCGGCCGCTGGTGGGCGCTCCTTTTTGACATCACAAATGTTATACTTTCCCATCGGTCAGATACTTTATAAGGCATCTCAATTATAAAAGGCCTGGAAAGCTATTAAACTGAAAAAAAATATATAATTCCTTATTTTAATTACTTTCATTTAATGAGGTGGTATTTTATAAACGTTTCTAGCATTTAACTAGAACTGCCATCATTCTGAAGCAAATAAATTTTTGTTATCTCAATATTTTCAAAATTTCTGAACCTATATACATATATTGATTTATAAGTAATGAGCTTCCCTCTTGCTTTTTTGAGTTCGCTCGTTTAATTTGTGCTTTTAGCCCTGACAATGCGTACTCTATGCACATATAACCTACGTTCAGCTTACAAGAACTACGCGTTCTTTGGTACCATTATGGACCAATTTTTTGAGAATTTTTTCAACGAAATAGGACAACTTATTTCTATAGCAAAAGCATGAGCATGATACAATTTCTCCTCGTGTGGATCGCACCATTGAATTACTGCAAGCGGTAAAGATTTCGATATGTGAATTAAAATCTGATATGTCTCCTGATTTAAATCATAAAAATGAGGATTCCCCTGCCATTTTAGAACTTTGACGACTAAGTCTGACTGGATAACTTACTACAAACAAAATTTGTTCTTCTGAAGGACTCAGGATTCAGAAAAAGATGAAAGTTAATTTGAAACAGTCATAAAATCACACAAAGAGACAAGAAAAAGACTCCCGTTAAAGAGGGATCCAGCCAGACTCCTGATTCATCTGCGAAAAACCCGAGTCTTGACAAAACAATGACAGACGCTACTTCTATATTACCAAGGTTGGTTCTATTTACCATCTCACCAATTATGAGTCTACTAAAACTGCGAGGAAGAAGCGAAGAATTCCTCCAAATATTATTAACGACTCTCAATACCTATGGAAGGGCCTCAAAAAAGTAATAACAGAACACAACCTAACTGATGAAGACTATAGTAGAGAATTTATAAGAGAAGAAATTAAGCAAATAACCTATCCTATATAGTCGACTGACTGCTGCCTTCAACACTGAAGTAGTTCACTACAATTCCTCAGCCGGAAAGTAAAAAGTTAAAGGATATCATAAGAAACTTTCTTTCATAAAATCAGATTAAAGATATAGCTGCTGAACTGAAGAAAAACTGTACGACGTCCTGAGTGTTCATCAATTGAAAAGACCAAAAAATGGAGAAGTGACCTATTTAACAACTTCACCTGGTGACATTGACAAAAACATATTTCAGTATACAAAGCTATGAGGAACGGTTCATTGATAGAATGAAAATCAAAGTTGAGCCATATAAAGGATGTGGAAGACTTTTTCAGTGTTATAGCTGTCAAGTATTCTTTCACACTCAAAGTTGCTGCAACCATAAGCTGCGCTGCGTACGTTGCAGTGAAAATTACGAAATCCGCAAATGTTGTAAAGATAAATAGACAGCGAAGTATGTTATCTGTCAAGAAATCGAACTTACGGCCAACTAAACAGAAGGAATTGCCTAAACCTAAAAGTCATTCGAACCGTTTCGTTACAAACAAGTCAATGCTCATGCTCTTTCTTTTGGTTTCCCTCCAGAATTAATTAAAGAAGCCAAGCAAGTGCTCAGGGAATTAAAACTTTTGTGATGAGGATCAAAGAATCAAGTACCGCTTTCTTAAACCAAAATTTCCATGCTGAAAGAAACTCCTTACATCAGGATGAACCAATCATTATTAAAATGTTTTTCTTTTTCATTTCAATGAATAAAAATTAATTTTTTTACATGCAACCATGAATTTCTTCAAAAGGCTTTTTGCAATCAGTAGAATAAAACGCCAACTGTAGAAAGGTGATGCACCTGAAAACATCAGTATCATGAAGTCTATGGTCAGAGCACGTGAAAAAGCGAAGAGTCAACTCATGCAGTGCAAGGCAACTTAGAAAGAAAAACGATAGACGAATTTCGAAGAAATTATTCGGCACATGAAAGTGAGTGCAATATGGCTACAAGAAAATATCAGGACTCCTTTACGAGTAGTAGAGTGATTGGCAGTTAGGGGCAACCTTGAGGAGAGCCTTAGTATGAAATCTGTCGCCCAAGAATTTGGAAATGATAAGTGCAATGCTCATGCTAAAGTGCTCATGCTCATATGTTGTGAAATGATAAAGTACATTTCACGAACTTTTAAGGTCTTCCAAATGACAGGTGGAGCTATTAGAAAGGTTGATGGATGTCGGCTAAGGAAAACAATGGTGACTGATGTCTGATATATCATCCTGCAGGCGAAAAGAGATCGAAAACAGCGGGCAAGAAGACCCCATAAAGGTGGCTTATTCACTCACCGTCCTGAACGCTGCATAGCAATGACAGCAGCTAATCGGCAGCACAGTTTACACTGGTGTAAAAACCACAAAAGGTTGGCCATCTTATTAATGGAGTTACATCCTCTTTATTGAGTCGTTGCAGTCTGAAAAGAAAAGCGGTTCTCGGAGCCAGTTGATATGGATAGAGGTAGGAATACGCTTTTATTGCACTACATCAGAGAAAGAGACCACTATGGTTGTCCTGGCGTGCTTACATGAGGAGGTATTACGGTGAACAAACGGACGGAGCCCTACGTTTCCGACAGAGTCTTAGTTATCGAAGATCGTTACTCTAATGAAATTATTCTTTCCCACTTGAGTGTTTTCTAGGGTAACCTTGGTCCCAACTTTGTTTTTATGGACTACACAGGTTTCATACTCTTGAGGAGCTCTCGGAAAAGGAAGATATCCAGGGAATGGATTTGTCAGCGAGCTGCCTTGATTTAAATCACATTGAACATGTGTGGGATACTTGGAGACACCTGACGGCACGTCATACCCACCGCAGAACATCAGATAATTGAAACAGATATTCTTTGAAGATTGGAACTCTTACCCCAAGAAATGTTAAATAATCTACTGTTGAATATTGACAGACAGTGTGATGCAAACATTGCGGGGGGGGGTCATATGCCTTACTACGGCTCTTTGGTTTGTTGTTGCCCCTTTTCTCTCTTTTCCTTCTTGTTTTTTGTGCCAACGCCATTCTCTCAATAAAGTCTCTTTCTATTCGTTCCGTCCTGTATGCGTCCCTTCATTTTTTGTTACTTCAAATTTCCTTCCATAGGACGTTCATCCGCAAGATCATTATGTGATGAGGCTACTGATATTATTTCGTAATCTACGTAATCTATTGACGTATAAATTTGATTGCGATGCAATATTTTCTTATATTTTTCTTGACTATTGCAACATTTTATTCCTGACTACCTATGTTTTGCCCAAACTCAGAAGAAACCGATGACCACTCCATCCTTTTATGGTGAACACTTCCACTTCCTGATATCAGATAGTAGAGTCATTAGGTTATTTTTAAAGCAAGAGTGATGAAAAAGGAGCAATGCCCTCGCCGGGAATCGAACCACGGAACTCTGGAATACGCATCCAGCGTGCAGACCACCCCACCACGAAGGCATGCTAGGAAGGCGGAAGAAATACCTTAAAAGGTTACAAAAAGGAAAATCGTTCTCCTGTTAGGTTCACGATCATTTGGGAAGTTCGTTTTTCATACACCAACAGCTTTGGCACACGAATGCGTTGTGAAGTAATGTTCAATCATAAATTTTGTTCGACATTGGACAACTTCGTCTCCATTTGCACTAAAGAAGTAGTTTTTAACGCTGATAATATGAAATTTTAAGTAATATATTACTTGTAATGGTGTACGAGCATCATCTATTAAAACAGTATGCCATATTCATTTTGGAATTTTTACCATTTTAAAGCTTAACGTACACGACTTTTAAATCGGCCTCTATAAATCGTCTTCTGACTTTTGTGAATATAGATAAATAGTATCTATACTAAACGAATCTTTTTGTAAATTTCAAAACGTGCTACCTCACAAAAAAAACCTCTACGTACAACATAATATATTAAAATGGCGTTCTTTTGAACGGAAATTTTAGTGAATGTAATGGTGCTAAGTACGACAGTTTAATAAATAATCAGTACACACCAAATCCATAAATCTGCGCCTTTTCCTGGCAACATTTACATCTATTTTCTATGTCAATTCTGATATTTTACATTATGACAATAGAAAAAAATGAATATTTTATAAAACAATTACGGCATCCTCCCTGCATGATGTCATGGTGTAAGTGGTTAATACGTCTTGCTGACAAATTTGAAGGCATATTGTTCAAATCTCAACAAAGAAACAAATAACTTTTTTTAATGATTTCTGGTGCAAAATGTACAGTCATCTCTATAATGTTTTCAGAAAATTACATTCACATTATTGTGCAGAAATAATAACTCAGTTTTTGTAAAAAAATAACTCATGTTAAATCATTAAGCATGTTTTCCTCGAAACAACGGTTTTGCGGATTTGTGGTCTTGTTGTTGGCTTCATCAAAATATTAGTTCCAATTTTAAAAGCATATAATACAATGGCTTGCTTAGCTATGAGGTAGTTCTTTGTGTTACTTCATTGTATCTGGGAGAAGTTTTCTCCCATATAGTGAAAGATTAAATCATCGGGAGCCAAGTTTACTTGGAAAGCGTTAATCTAAATACCAGACCTCGAAATCTCAGTGAAATTCCCAGGTTTACCCAGCAAGTGTCCCGTGAATTTCTTAATTTAGTGAAAGAAAAATTACGTTGATTCATGCATAAAAGTTTGACAGCAAAATTCATCTTTTGAATAATAAAAGGGATTTTATTTAATTAAATGTATAGCGTATTGAAAACTTTGTACTTTTTGAGGCATCATTAGAGTTTTTTCTTTAAATTAATTTTGATTTTGATTGCAGGAAAAATAATATTATTAAGTGCAATGGACAACTAAATAAGATTGGAAATCGTATTAAGTATTATCATAAGGTTAGAGTATTTACTAGCACTAATGAGCTGATGAGTGTTGTAGAGCCACTTGCACTTGATTTTCTCAAGTTTAAGGATGGTGAAATCCAAATAGGATGACATCTCATGGTTTAAATAGACTCTTGGACAGTTTAAAATTCTTTCGATCTAGCTGATAAATTTTGTGATTCCGTCAATAATAATAGATTATAAAACAATAAAGTTTTACTACAGGTAATTGCTTTTTATGATTTTTATTTACGAATTTCAGATGCGAAAAGAAAGGTTAACAGGAGGGGCCTTCCATCCTCAAGAGCCGGACTTAGCTGCAACTTTTGGCGAACACCACCTGGCATTCTGGAGGAAACGACAGGATGGCCTTCTTGCAAGAATAGACGCACTATCACCGGTATGTCGATCTCAGAATTTCTAAGGAAATTTTAACTACTGCGACGATAATTTTTAAAATTCCAGTAAAATTAATGATTTTATTGATGCCCTTTTTCGTAGAACATCATAAATGATATGCGAGTTCCATCTTACAGACATAAACTTTTTTATGCTTTTTCAAATATGAAATTTCTAATATATGCAGGGCAATATTAAATGGGAAATATGTAAACTACTATTCTGATATTAAATTTAATTAATCATTAGTGTGAAACAACACCTGTTTAACTTCTTTTGTGTTTCAGACGGGTTCCCGTTCTTGCAGTTAACTGCAAGTCTGCTTTCCTACAACACAGAGAAGAAGTAGAACTTAACAAAAATATTCATTTAAAGGCTGCGTATCGTAATACAACTAAAATTTAACTGAACTTATTCATCACTACTTGGGATGTCTCAGAAATTCAAAGACTAATGAATAAGACAGAAAACTTCCAACACTTCTCTAAACCTGATTCCAGCTACAACAACATCAATCTTTACAAGCTAATAATCTTTAATCACACACCAAATCTCTAATCGGGACACAGGTGGACGTTTCAGAAAATAAAGAGATTTTCAGCGAATTGCCATTACTGTCTCTCTAAACTAAAAATTCGTCGTTATTTAAATTAAATAGAATTTGGATTCTTGTGATGGCCAATGGAAGAAATAAGAGGTAGAGGAAAAAATTAACATGAAAAGTAGCTAAATAATTTAATAACAAATTAGCAAAAATAAATCTTATACATGTAAATTGTTGTAGCCTTAGAAAGCTGATTGTTAAAAAAGTATCATTCGAACATTCAAATCTCTTGCTGATTGCATTACTGCAATATGAAAAATTAACTTTCATAAAAAAATTCTTGGGTTTTCTTTATAGTTGAGATACAGTCGTTATTGGAAATTTTATTTTCTACTTTAAACTACTTGCCACATTTTACAGTATTTTTAATTAGCTGTTGCTTTACTTTGGTTCAAGCATTGATTCTAGGCGATTTCATCTGTACTTATACATATACATACGACGGCTTCTACAGATTACATTTTAAACCTAATAAAAATGGCTTTATGCATGTGAAAAACTTATTAAAGTGTAAGACATTTCTTTATGTAGTTATTTTATTTGTATTTACTATTAAATTTTTCTCAAGGTCGATGCTTGTTGTCTTCAGTGCAAACTAATACTGCTCATTCGTAAAGACGTAAAATTCGATTTTAGTCTGATAGTCATTCGAATGGGAAAAAAATTAGTTTTAAGATTATTCACATATATTGCAGTCTGAGAGATAATATGACTCACAAACTGTTTCATTTTGAATATAGAGGAACTTTTTAAATCTGAAAACAGTACGTTAAATTTGTTCTGAAGTAATCTTAAAGAAAAAATTGCTTCAAAAGCGTCTTCTTGATATGCGATAATGAAGACAAAGATTGCAAACTTTCGGTTTAAAGGGGACGTATAACCGGCGTTATGATTTAAATATTAAACAACCTTCTTCCTGTACTGATTTTTTTTCGGATACTATAGCCAATACTTGGAGATTTTATGATGGAAATGTTTACCTCTACGTTGTAAGATTTTGTACTGTGTACTTTACAGTTGATTGTAAAGAATCTTAAGAACTGATAAGCGAATAATCGCTTGAGTTCGTGCGACAGTAACCAAAACTTGAAAAGGGTTAAAGACCCTTTATTATTCAAATAAGGTTTAACAGAACTCCGTCTTGGAGGTACAATAAAGCCGACACTCGGGCTTGAACTTAAGAGATTAAGAACTAAACTAATCTTAACTAAAAAGATATAGCCGAAACTATCAAACTTCTAACGGAGTTGGACCCTTAACGCTAATAAACTGCGAAGCTATCAAGGGCCTAAAGTACGCCGAGCATAATAATAGCTTAAGAGAGAGTAGCCTAAAAAGGGGACGCGTGCTAGCCAGAATCTCTGGTTCTCTCTGTGACTAAAACAGTAGAACTTCGCGGTTACATACCACTCTTCCTCAGTTTGCTTTCAAACGTGATTCTAAAACTACGTTCTGGCCGGAAAATGTAAGTTGAAATTCAGAAATGATAGGAAAGGAAGTTTAACTCAAAATTTAACTGTTATATAAATTAATATAATCCTTACACCGTAAAGAACAAAAATCATTAAATTTTACTTACGAATTACGAATCAAATACGAAATTACGAATAATTGTGAAATAAATACTCTGTTATTATTCGACGCAACAAACGTGCCGTAACTTCTTTAATACTCGAAACGTGTTTAGTACTGCAACACTGAAACAATTTGCCTATGCCTAGTAGTTTAACATTTTAAGTGACAAATAATGGCTCATTCTCTAGGAAAAAATTTTGGCAATCCCATTATTTTCCACTTTCATAATTTTAACTGGTCATTGTGAATGAACGGCAGTAGACACATTTTAGGGAGCTGTTTAAAATCTGTGTACAAATTAGCGACATACCCGAACAACAGTTTAAAGCCACAATTCGACAAAAAATTTATGAATGGTAAGAGGTACGAAGGTATATTGCTATTATCATTGTACTATTTACCAATGGCCACCATTTATTATTCATTATTTTCGAAACATAATGTAAGTATATTTGTATAATTTCCTTACTGTAAGAATGATAAACACTAAATAAAGGTGAAGTAAAAAGAGTTATTCATTACTTAAGTTATACCGTCAATTATGCGGCTCCTCTAAAAGCAAAAATTCCTCATTTATTTGAATTAAATTTAACCAAATTTGGTTTATTTTTTCAATTCAAATAGTACTGAATAATTGTAATACAAAAATAAATATTCCCTGGTTTTGCATTCAATTCTACAGATAATAATTTCATTGTAATAATTCATTGTATCATTCTTAATAATTTCATTGTTTCACAGGGCCATTCAGGAAGAACTATCCTGTCTTGGGCATTTATCGGTGAATCTAGTTTAGCAGTAGGAGATTCCAGTGGATACTTAACATTGTGGGCGCTCTTGCCAGGAGATGCCTTTCGAATTTTAAAAGAAGTTCGAGCTCACCAGGTAAAAAAAAAAAAAAAAAAAAAAAAAAACTATTTGCTATAACCTGATGAAAGTTTTAATTTATTTAAAAACTTACAATTACTTACTTAATTAAAAAATATTAAAATATGGAATTATATTGACAGAACCCCGGTTTTAAAATATTATTTTTCTTTATAAATTACGAAAATGTGCATATTTATTGTCAAAAGAGTTAGTTTTAGAAGCTTTTTTTACTGAATGGCTATAACCCCGATACTACACACACTGGCCAATGAATTATAAACATTTGAGATTTTCATTTGAATGCGTGCTAGGGATGAAATATACAAATTTTTTTATGACGTGAGTTACACGTGATTAGAATGCTATTATAAGTAAGGTAACAGTGCTTTTCACGATGAATGAAGTAAAATGGGAAAAACGACAGATCTTTCACCATTTGAAAAAGGGCTTTGCTCGTTCAGCAAGCCTCAATTTCGAAGACAGCAAATCTTACTGGGTTCTCAAAAGCAGACATATCAAAGTTTTTTAAAAGTTTGAATCCGAATCCGCAGTCCTTCTCTAGAAAACATAACTGCGGATCGAGCAGAGTTTTCCAACAGAGTGATTGGCGTCATCTCCGATAAGCCGGATTTAATACTATATTAATTCCATTCTAAGACGGATTTAGTTCTAACAAGAAGGAAAATTACGTTGATTCTAAGAAAATAAAGTGAGCGAAATTTCAACTCTGAAACACACCTAGCAATTATTTTTTAATAATAAATTTTGATTTACTAACAACAGTAGTTACTAAATAATAGACCTACTTAAATAAGTCATTTAAAAATGTTATTATTGCAATACAATTAATTTGAAAAATCTGTTGTTCTATGACGCCATTGCTCCTAAAGCGTTCTGCCCCTTTACTATTTTTAACAATCTTCATATGGGCAAAAGGGTGCACCTTAGATTCGAAGAAATACGCTGCATCATTAAGTCACTTTTTTTTTCTCATTCATAAGTTTTAATTTGTTAATCTGTAACTCAACAATTATATTTTCAAGAGAATTCAAGTTTTACTTGAGATTTAAATTCAGAATTTTTACAAAATTTTCTGCCGCTATATATATATATACATTTAAAACTGATACGCATAGCATTCTATGAAAAATTTGAGATACTTGTGGATCTTTGGAGCAACCAGGTTGCCAAAATCTCATCGAAAGAACTCCAATCTAAGTTTTATCAGCCATAATTCTGCAACTGCTGCAAGAAATAAGTTCGAAACAATTTTCTTAACCCCTTATACTTTCGCTCATAAATTCAAGGCGATGGATCTCTAAATGATGCAACGCCTTTTCCTTTCTCTATTCTTTAGAAATGTTTCGACGTTTTTGTTAAGAATTCCAACCAGAAAGTACTGTCTTGTTTTACGGCACATGTCTTTGAATATGCAGTGTTTAAGCAAGATCTTTCTGCATTATTTTTCTTGAATACAAAGAAACTCTTATCGATTTTAGATGTTTTGATTAAACATTTTGTCCACTTAATTGTTATTCCATTTAATTTTACCGTTATTACTAACAGTTAATTATTTCCCATACCATTTAACTGATGCCATTTTTCCCGAACCAACATAGATAAAATAATGCAGTCAAAAAGAATTTTTGATTCATGAAACAAACATTTTCCTACACGCATTTTCTTCTCTTCTGTGCCAATACATGCCTATCTGAGTTCATTGTAAAGTTTCGTTTCATGATTGTTCCTTTCGAAACCTGTTGTTGTTCCTTTTCTTAGAAGAACATAACATCCTTTCCAATTAATGGGAAAAGTCTTGGCAAATTAAAAATAATCAGCCCGTATACGAAAGAGATAAAAATTTTGAAAAAAAAAAAAAAAATGCAATAATATTACTGTAACAAAGAACTCAATATCAAAGGCTGACTCATAAAAAGGATAAGAGGCACACGTGAAAAAACGGTTACCGTATCGGATACCGTTACGGTTATGAATGAAGGGAATGCATTGCGATTATCCAAAATATGCACAAGTGCTTAATTTTATGAATTATTTAATTTAATTGGCAGTTTTAAAGCATTTTTATAAAATAATTACTTCTGTATAGAGTGAAGTGAGATCACTTCTGGCAATGCGAGAAGGTACTCTTATATCTGGTGGAGACGACCAAATCAAAGCGTGGGACTCTCGTCAGAAACTTTTACATCTGGAAACCACGGGGGTGAGTTAATTTCAAGAATAAATTCTAATATTTCATATATTTGTCTTTTATGATGTGGTTGTTAAGTGCGTAATATTCCTCAGTACTTTGTCTGTGATATAATGTCGGGTAACCTAGTGAACTAAGTAGCGAATTATGACTGCCCAGGCAGCATGCATTCGTAAATTGCACGAGAATACGTGCAATTTACGAATGGCCTTTCGTATAAAAAACGTTCAAGTTGAACGTAAAAATATCATAAAAAGTGTCCAGTGGCAATTACTAAATATTTACGTATATTTTTACGTTACTTACGTAACTTTTACGTAAAATTCAGGTATATTTACGCGAAAGATTACTGTTTATTCGCAACTTTTACGTATAATATATTACGTATTTCAGGAATTTAAGTATATTTATCGCATATACGCAAATCTCAATTTTTTGCTTCACGTATGCGTATATATTTAGTAAAAAATTACGTAAATTTCCCAGATTTTTTCCTGTATATAAACGTATATATTAGGTAAAAATTAAGGTAGATATTCCCCGTATTTTACGGTACAAAAACGTATATATTTCCCGTAATTTACGGTACAAAAACGTATATATTTGATAGTAATTGACCTAAATCTTCCCTATGTTTTCTTTGCATATGCGAATGACTGGTAAAAATTTAATCTGATGTATTCTCCACTTTACTGTGTATAAATGCACATTTTTTTGGTAAAAAATTTGCATAAATCTTTAATTACCTTTTCACTGCATTTTTCATAAAATGTACTTATTTTAATCTCATGTTTCTTATATAAATCTATGCAAAAACTTTCTGTATGCTATGATTAAAAGGTAAAATAATTTTTATATCAAATTCTTACATATCTACCTTTTAGTTATGTACAGCAATATGGAATATATATAACTGGAAAATTTAAATGCACTAGTAAATGAAAAAAAAAATCTATTAAAAATTATGTAACACTTAAAGGCTGAAAATGACTTTTAATATTTCATTTCAAAGTGACTACAAAATATGCAACAAATTTCGTAAAAATCAATTAATGCTATCGTTCATTTGCATTTTTGTTTACTAATTTCATAATTTTAAATTTAGTAAAAAACTGTAGCAAACAGTTGTTTACTAAATTCATTATTACTAAATATCACTTTAAATAAATTATTTGCTTTTACGAAGGACATTTTCTTATGCCATGTAAATGAACGATAGCATTAATTGATTTAAAACATAGAACTCAGGTTTACAAAATTTATTGCATATTTTGTAGTCACTTTGAAATGAAATATTAAAAGTGATTTTCAGCCTTTTAGTGTTATGTAATTTTTGAATAGAAATTAATTTTTTTGCATTTAAATTTTCCAGTTATATATATTCCATATTGCTGTACATACCTAAAAGGTGGATATATGTAAAAATTTGATATTAAATTAATTTTATCTTTTAATCATAATATGCAGAACATTTTTGCATAGATTTATATAAAAAATAAGAGATTAAAATAAATAAGCACATTTTACGAAAAATGCAATAATAGTAAATAGGTAATTGGAGATTTATGCAAATTTTTTACCAAAAATGTGCACTTATACACAGTAAAGAGAAGACATCGGACTAAAAAGTAAATTTTTACCAAAGTCATTCGTATATGCAAAGAAAACATAGGGAAGATTTAGGTCAATTATTATCAAATATATAAGTTTTTGTACCGTAAAATACAGGGAATATCTACGTTAATTTCTATCTAAAGTACAATATAGTTAATTAACAAATTCAGTAAACGAATGTAGCACAAAAGAAAACATCATACGTTTAGATTATTTGAATGAGTGTGCTAAATTTTAAAATTGTTAAATATAGACCAGGAAATTGTAGAAAACTTACCTTTTTCCAATAGTTTACCAAGTTGACTTTGTTATTTTCCTTGAAGATGAATGTTTAATGTCACAAATTTCATTCATTCTATCAGATAATACACAAATATATACATATTTATTTATTAAAATTCAGTTTATCCCAAACATGTTAAAGAAAATATTAATTTGCATGCAAGTTAATCGAGTAACTTCTGTTTTAATTACACACATAATTATGATATGTAAAAATTTTACATTTATCAGTCAATCTTGCAATGTATTGTAATCTATTATTGTTGTCTTTCTCAGTTTAAAATCTTATAAATATATTAGATCAGTACTAAAAGTTCACCTCTACAAAAGAAATGCTTTATTGAGGTATTTTTAAAAAAAGTTCCCTTTTACAATGTAACTGTTAATTTCATAAATAAGTTCATAAAATTATGCAAATTCAAAATTACCTAAATATGTTCTTTATTTTATCTTATATACCAGATAAAATTTTAAAAAGTTAATTTGTTTAGGAATATTGAAGTTTTTAAATATTTATCTCATGTGACTTTTTCTATAACATTAAAAATGTACATGTTGATGTGGACATACCAATTATTTTTTTTCATCAAATAGCTTTATGGTATTAAATGATTTAAAAAGAGGCAACTGGACAAAAGAAAGCAATTAGAAGTTGGCTAATTTTTTATTAATTTGTTGTCAAATGCTGTGCATTTTAGATTATGCTCATATGGTGACAATGAGTTATTTAAATTATAAAATTATTATGAACATATCCCACATAAATTAACAAGTATAAAAATTTCAAGTTGTTTGAAGTATTATGAACTGTAATACTTGCAAAAGAAATACACATGAAATTAATTTAAGAATTAGGTTTATTTTACAGGTATTCGAAAACTGCAATTACTGTTAAACAATAAAAACTAACATTAAATCTGAAGAGCATATTTTTTTTCAATAATAAAATTCAACATAGACTTCATGCAGCTTCGCCATATTTGTTCTATAGTTCGCTGTCTTTAATATCCTGCTCGATTTTTGTAAAAGTGAATTCTTTGTCACCCAATGTTTTGAGAACAGCTCCTAAACAAGAAAAAGAAAAATTTGTAATAATTTCACACTTCAGATGTTTTCAGTTTTTAAATATAGTTGAAGTATTAAAAGATGCATATAAAATGCACTGAGTATTTCATATTTAAAAATTTACATTTCAGTAATTAAAAATTTAATTTCATACTATCACACAGTAAGCTTCAATTATATACCTTACACAATGCCTATAATTTCAAGTAAAAAATACTTAAGATTTGTTTAGAACTGCAAGGTTGAGAAAGTCTTTAATGGCTATGTTTGTATTTAAGTACATGAGAAAAAACTTAATTTTGTATTAATTATATTGCATTAGCCTTTTCAATTTTACTCCTACATATAGTAAAGAATATTCGCTTTCTTACAGATAACTTTTTCTTAAATAAAGAGTAAGCAGAAAACTAATCACAACACTATATACATATAACAGAATACTTCATAAACATATACATGTCATTAACATACGTATATGCATTAACAGGCTATTTTACACATTTCAATAAACCAGAAACCAATACACAAAAAAGTATTATCAGTAAATTCCTCCAAAATCAGAGCAAAAATCTTTAATTATGATAACAATGGCATCTCAGTTTGCAATATAAAATATTTCAAGTCTACATTCATGTGCATTCTAAGCAAACAGAAAGCTGAATAACAATAAAATTATAAATACCATAAAAAAGTTAAGAGCCACGTAGAATGATAGCAAGACTAAATGAAGTCTTCCTTCAAAAATCAATTTAAATTCAAAAATTTGCCTTCCTGTTTAACATCTCAAAATAGGGTTACTGCTTTCACTAACTAAATTTCCTGTCTTGGCAAAATAAAAATTGTCACTTCTTCTGTTGCAGGAAATATTTGCTGCAAACTTTGTATGCAAATAATCCAGTGAAAAAATTTTAATTGTGGCTTGAATATTTTCTTTATTAAATAAATGAAAAATTCCCACATAATATTAATTTATGATCCACATGAAGCTTTTTACCTCTACCATATCATGCAGCTATTTTAAAATATATACTCTCATATAAAAGCCACAGAATTTTTTTACCAATATTAATATAGTATAACTCATTAATAAATCTTCTAAAAAACAGCCCCAAAATTTCTGAATTTGATACTCAAAACATAATTCTACGTAACTGTTAATGTATGCATTTGCTTGCACATACTTAAAATGAATTATACACACAAAAACTTAACATATTAACTTTAATAAATTCTTAATTAGCAGGATGACTCAATTAAGGCAAATATGAAAGAAATCTACCTGATGGAATAGTTGTAAAAGATATATTTAAAAAAAGCTAATATTGTTTACCTTACACATGGCAGAAATTGAGTAAACTGTATGCAGCTGGATTATTTATTAGGAATAGAAGTTAGATCAAAGTACCAAAGTCACACTAGGGCTTTAACCATTTGGGTGCAAAGAAGCATCTCAATTTAAAAAAGAATAATTTAAAAAAGCTAATAGAATTTTATAACTTTTACAATCTAGTACAAATATTAGACACATAAACAACACTAAATGCCATTATTTACTTGCATATTTTCCTTCTTTGTGTACTTTACTCCTTAATTTTTCAGGATATGATTTAGAAACAGAGTTATGGTAAAAATGTATACTGGTAAAAAAAATATTGCTGAAACTGATAAGTCCTTTGAATTATATACTATAGTGCAAAGAGGGATGGAATATGTGACTAAATATGATAAATCAGATTACAATAACATTAAACAAATAACATGAAAAACTGAAAAAAAGAAATTTTATTTGAAATTATTTTTTAACTCATGGAAAGACAGACAGTATTTCCAACTTATTAAATTCAATTATATTTTACCTTCGTCAAACCAATATTGGTAAGAGAGTTGTATTTAAAATCGGTGCTAAGCTAAAGCTGCTTTCTTGCCTAATTTTATACTATTGAAAATACCGGTAATTGTCAAAGTTATTCGTACTCAATATGTGTAAGATTATTAATGAGCTGCCAAACCGCAGTTAACCAGCTAATATACTACATTCAACATTATTATTTTTCTTTTTG